GACTGGAATGCAAAGGTTGGAAACAAAGAAGAAAATCAGTAGTTGGAAAATATGGCCTTGGTGATAAAAATGATGCTGGAAATTGTATGATAGAATTTTGCAAGACCAATGACTTGTTCGTTGCAAATACCTTCTTAAAACATAAAAGACAACTAAACACATGGACCTCACCAGATGGCATACACAGAAATCAAGCTGACCACATCTGTGGAAGAGATGATGGAAAAGCTCCATAGCATCAGCCAAAACAAGCCTAGGGCAGACTGGAACAGATCATCAATTGCTCATATGTAAGTTCAGGCTGGAGCTGAAGAAAATTAAAACAAGTCCATGAGAGCAAACAAATTCTATGCATAGGACATTAATGACCAGAGACTAGAAGAGTTGTAGAATGACATCAAGAACATCATACAAGGAGAAATTAAAAGGTCATTAAGTAACAAGAAAGAAGGAAAAGACCAAAATGAATGTCAGAAGAGACTCTGAAACTTACTCCCCAACAGAGATGCTAAAGCAAATGGAAGAAATGAGGAACTCAAAGAACTGAATGGAAAACTTCAAAGGGAAGCTCAAGAAAACAAAAACAAGTATTATAATGAAATGTGCAAAGACCTGGAGTTAGAAAGCCAAAGGGGAAGAGAACATGCTAAGCATTTCTCAAGCTAAAGAACTGAAGAAAAATTTCAAGACTTGATTTGGAATATTGAAGGATTTTTATGGGTAAAATACTGAATTATGCAGAAAGCATAAAAAGAAGATGGAAGGAACACATAGTCATCGTATTACAGAGAAATGGTGATGTTCAACCATTTCAAGAGGTAGCACATGGCCAAGTGCCAACGGTACTGAAGAAAAAAGTTCAAGGTGCACTGAAGGCATTGTCAAAGAATATGGCTCCAGTAATTGATGGAATACAAACTGAAATCTTCCAACAAACTGATGAAGCACTAGAGGCATTTACTCATCTATGCCAAGAAATTTGGAAGGCAGCAACCTTGCCAACTGATTGGAAGAGATCCATATTTCTCTGTCCATTCCAAAGAGGAAAGACTCAATGTAATGTGAAAATCATTGGCCAATACCATTAACATCATATTCAAGTAAGATTTTGCTAAAGATAATTTAAAAAAATGGCTGCAACAGTACGTTGACAGAAAAATATCAGAGGTTAAAGCTGGATTCAGATGAGGATGTGGAAGAAGGAATATCATTGCTGACGTCAGATGGATCTTGGCTGAAAGCAGAGAATACCAGAAAAATGTTTACCTGTGCTTTATGGACTACGCAAAGGCTTTTGACTGTGTTGGATCATGACAAGTTATAGACAACATTATGGAGAATAAGTATTCCAGAATACTTAATTGTGCTCATGAGGAACCTGTACATAGACCAAGAGGCAGTAGTTCAAATAGAACAAGGGGACACTGAATGGTTTAATCAGGAAAGGTGTGCGCCAGGGTTGTATTTTTTTTATCATACTTATTCAATCTGTATAATAAACACATAATTAGAGAAACTGGATTATATGAAGAAAATTTGGCATCAGGATTGGAGGAAGACATATTAGCAACTTGCAATAGAGGTAGATGATACAACCTTGCTTGCTGAAAGTGAAAAGAACTTAAAATACTTACTGATGAAGATCAAAGACCTTCTGTATAGGTTGCACCTCAATGTAAAGAAAACAAAAATCCTCACTATTGGACCAATAAGTAACATCATGATACACAGAGAAAAATCAGAGTTGTCAAAGACTTCATTTTGCTGGAATCCATTATCAACAAAGAAGCAGCAGACAAGAAATCAAATGATGTATTGCATTATAAAAATCTGCTGCACAAGACCTCTTTAAAGTGTTCCAGAGCAAAGATGTCAGTTTGAGGACTAAGGTGTGCTTGACTCAAGTCATGGTATTTTCAGTAACCTCATATGCATGTGAAAGTTGGACAATGAATAAAGAAGACCATAGAAGAATTGATGCATTTGAGTTATGGTGGTGGAGAAAAATATTAAAAGGACATGAACTGCTAGAAGAACAAACAAAACTGTGTTGGAAGAAGTACAACCAGAAAGCTCCTTAGAAGCCAGAATGGAAAGACTTTGTCTTTCATACTTAGGACAAGTATGGGAGGGACCAATCCCTGGAGAAGGATATCATGAATGGTAAAGTGGAGGATCAGTGAAAAAGAGGAAGACTCTTAATGAGATAGATTGGCACAGTGGCAGCAGTAATGGGCTGAAGCATAACAAGGATTGTGAGGTTGGTGTAGCATTAGACAGTGTTTCATTCTGTTGTATAAAAGGTTGCTATAAGATCTATCTGACTTGATAACACCTAATAACATTTGCAGCATACACATCAATGTACATACAAGTATCCTCTCCCAAACCTATATATGCTGTGGGTGTATGTCCATATGCCATCTCACACCAATTATATATTTATTTATGTATCCACTTGTAAATTATTGTTATTACTGTTACTGTAGGATTTTGCATGTAACTATATTTATCTTCATTGCCTTTTATTTTACTTGGTCCCAGTGTCCTTCTTTGCCTTGGTCATGCTGAACAGGTCACCTTCTTATTATGCATTGCCTTTTCTTCACTCAAGTTAGTCCTGGTGTGTCACTATATTGTAAGCACTGGATTGCTAGCCACAAAGTGAGTGGCTCAAATCCACAAGTCGCTCCTTGGAAACTTTATATGAGTTGGAACTGAATCATTGGCACTTAACAACAACAGTACCTAGTTAGCAGAGTCCTGGTGTGATACTGTGGAATAAGCACTGGACTGCTGCTAATCACAAGGTCAGCAGTTCATACTCACCAGTCACTCCTCGGAAACTCTGTGTTGGAACCACTGCACAGCACTTAACAACATCAAGTTAGTGATTTTTTTCTTCCCTCCCCCTCCCATTCCCGGTAACTATCAAAGAATGTTTCTTTCTGTGTGTCAATCTTTTCTTGACTTTTTATAATAGTGATCTCAAACAATATCTGTCGTTTAGTGATTGACTTACTTCTCTCAACATAATATCCTCCAGATTCATTATTATTCTTTAACATTACATAACACTCCACTGTATGTCTCTTTCACAGCCATTCATCTGCTGATGGGCGCGTTGGTTGTTTCCATCTCTTTGCTATTGTGAATAATGCTACAGTTGAATGTGGATGCGCATGCATCTATTGGTGTCAGAGCTCTTATTTCTCTAGAACATATACCTAGTATACCTCTAGTAGTGGGATTGCTGGATAATATAGTATCTGTATTCTAACTTTTAAAGGAAGCACAATTTTCGACAGTGGTTGTACTATTTTACAATCCCCTCACGAATCGGGCTGCGAATCTCAGGGTCAGCAGTTCGAAACTACCAGCTGCTCTGCGGGAGAAAGATGAGGCTTTCTGCTCCCATAAAGATTTACAGCTTCGGAAACCCTGTACAGGGTCGCTATGAGTTGGAACCAACTCCACTGCACATAACAACAACAGCAGTGTATGAAAGTTCTGATCACCCCAGACCATTACCAGCATTTGTTGTCTTCTGTTTTTTTTAAATCATTGCACTTATGGTGGGGATAAGTGAAATAATACCTCGTTGTTTTGATTTGCACCTTTCTAATGGTGTTGTTTGTTGGCTAAGCACTGGACTGCTAACTGAAAGATTGGCAATTCAAACCCAACATCTCTCCATAGGAGGAAGATGAGGCTGTCTGCTCTCATAGGGATTTATTGTCTTAGAAACCCTATATAGGGTCACTATGAATTGGAATTGAGATGATGGCAGTGAGCTGATGTTGAATAGCTAATGACAATGAGCATATCTTTATGTATTTGTTGCATGCTTGAATGTCTTCTTTAGTGCAGTGTCTAGTCACATCCTTTGCCTATATTTTAAGTATATTGTTATTCTCTGTTGTTGAATGTTTTCTATAAAGATTAGTCTCTTGTCATATATGTTGTTGCCAAATTTTTTCCCCATCTGTAGGTTCTCTTTTTTACTCTTTTGGAGAAGTCTTTTGGTGTTCAAAAATTTTTAATTTTTAGGAGATACCAGTTGTCTAGTTTAATCTTTTTCTGTTTGAACTTTTTGTGTCATTGTTATTGTTGTTAAATGCCATTGATTTTTAGTTAGGTTTAAAAAGCTATTTATACCATAAATTAGGGCTCTTAAGTTTGCCTGTATTATTATTATTATTTTCTTTCATGATCTTTATAGTTTTAGGTTTTACATCTAGGTCTTTGATTCATCTTGCATTTGCATTAGTTTTTATGTATGGTGTGAGGTATGGTTCTTATTTCAGTTTTCTACAAATGGATATCCAGTTTTGTCAGTATCATTTGTTTAAAAGAGTCTCTCTTCTCTGTTCACTGGATTTTGGCCTGTTGTTGAAGACCAGCTATTCATAGGTGGATGGATTTACTCCTGGGTTCTCAGTTCCATTCCACTGGTCTATGTGTCTGTGGTTGTATCAGTACCAGGCTGTGTTGATTACCGTGGCTGTGTAGTATGTTCGGAGATTGGGAAGTGTGAGGACTCATACACTGTTCTTCAATAGAGCTTTGTTTATCTGGGTCTGTTTCTTTTCCATATAAAGTCGGTGATTCATTTTTCTGTCTCTTTATACTGATGGAATATAGAGATTGGGATTGCTTTACAGCTAGATTGCTTTTTAGTGTTTTTTTAGTACTGATGACTTGGTTTCTTAAAGTATGCGGAATTTTCATCATAACCAGACTCACAATGAACACTTACTGGCAGGGGAAAGGAAGGTGGGAACACTCACTTTCCTCCCACTTCAACAGGACCCACCTCCTGGCTCTACAGTGGAACCATGATGGACTTGGGTCAAAAGTCAGAGCACCCCTGCTGAGCGAGCAACTATCTGGCCTGTTAGCTACTCAAGGATCAGTCTCTCCTAAATGCTTCTCCTTTCCCCCTCTCCCCTTTAAGTCCTAATAAACCCTGAACTACCTGAGCATGTTCCATCACTGGCCACTTGTCTCTTTAACAAACCACAGAGGACACGTGATCAGGAAAGCTAGCCCAATTGTCCTAAGCAGGCCCAGAGGATGAAGAACACCCTTCTACACCCTCTCTGATGATCCCAGTTTTTCATCTCCACTTGGCAGGTGATTCTCTAAAGACTGACTGTGCACCCAGTACTCCAAAAGGAGCTGTGAGCTACTACGATGGCCTGAAATCAAGATTTTCTTGTTTTTGTATTTGTTCTTCTATCTTAGTAGTGTTTTATCTTCTAGCTCTCTAGTTCTAGCTTCTATCTCTCTTCAATTCTATTCCTTTGCCCTTTCAATGTATTGTCCATTTCTGATATTCTATTATTAATCGTTTGGACCTCTTTGTGTAGGTTTTGAATTGTTTCCAATGCTCTATCTTATTTGATTGTTCCTGTAGCATTTTCCTGACTTCTTCCTTATTTTTCTCAAAAGCATTATATAGTGTTTTGATGCCTTTTATAATCATTTTTAGGAATTCCTTCTCAGGCATTTCCAAAGCTTGCCCATCTTCTAGTATGGAGTGTAGGTCTACTTCCAGCTCATTTGCCTCAATCACTTTATCTCGTTTCTGGACATGTGCAGATATGGTCATCTGCTTCTGTTTTTTGGGCATCTTCAGGGGTTATCTGTGGACTTAATACTTAGATGGGGAAGTATTTTGGTATTTTTTATGCTTTCTGAATGTCTCCAGGTAGATGTGATCAGGAAATGGGCTTCCCTTTTCACTCTTCTTCCTGAGAAGTTTCAAGATACCACTATTGGTCATTTTGACGTAACTTAGGATTTAATTTTTGGCCTATTTCCTCTTTTGTCTGCTTGTCCCACTCCACAATCCCCGTTCAGGCCTTATTTCCTGTTGCAAACAGTTCAGGGCTGGCTGTGGCCATTTGGTTTTAATTGGAAACTGTCTCTTTAAATTTCGAGGAGATCTGTGCGCATGCGTACTAGAACCCTCCGAGGGTGGGGCTGGGGTGCCCACTAGCTCAGGCACCCCTATAGTCACCAGAATGGAGGTGCTCAGACAGCAAGGGACCAATGAACAGATACCAAAAGAGAAGAATGTCCACACCTTTATCTCAGTGGTTTTGCCAGGCATCTGTGGCCACTCTGATCCTTTCCCCACATGGTCTCACCTAAGATGGCGGCTTCTGGAGCAGCTGAGCGTCCCAGACTAGAAAGCAGTAGATTTCTTGCTTCTGCCACAAATTCCCCCAGCTGTGAGCCTTCCTTCCAACCTTCTTAGTATTCCTTTATATGTGGTCAGAGTTCTGGGACCATCCCCTGAGCCTGCTTGGCCAGGTATTCTGTGTTGTTGTTGGCGGAGCTCTTTGCTACACATCCACCAGATCCGCCATCTTGTTTGTTCCTTCAAGATTTTCTTGTTTTTGTGGGCTTGAGTCATCTTTGCACATACGCTTTTAATTCTCCCTAAATTTACAGGTCACAAGGGTGTAGATACTCCTCACCTAGCCCAGTATTAGCTCCTGGTGAATAAGCCCAAGATGGTGGGTCCCTTAAAATACCTCTTCACCTATCCTCATGAATCTGGCCTGGGGGGTGGGGGTGGGGGTGGGGGCTCTTTTCTGCCCATCTCCAAAGCCCCGTTGGCCCAAGATGGAGCTTCTGCTTGGTGTGGCCGTGTCTTCTTTAGCAGCACCCCTCTGCTCAGCATCCCCCATTCACCACTTCTCCCCTTGTGGGTTCATAGAGGGATTGTTGCTATGAACCAGAGGGACTCCTATCTTAGAAAAATACTCGTGCATTCATTCAATAAGTGCTGGTTGAATATCTACTATTATTCCAGTCACTGCCCTAGGAAAATGGTGACACTCAAGCCTAAAGAGACACCACTTTACCTTAGAAGACTGTATCCTCTGATTTTGCCTTTATGCGAAACAACACTGACAGAGCCCAGAATATTCCAGAATTGAAAAATACTTTCCAAATCATTGGAGGAGTGCAGGTGGGTAAGTGCTTTGCTACTAAGTGGCTGACCCCTGGGAGAAAGACCTAGGTCTCCAAGGCGAGGAGACTTAGTGCTTCCTTGTTTACTGCCTACAGTACTCATTTAGAAAGCAATGCTGTGTGACCTTGGTCATGGCTCTTTCCATCTCTAAACTTCAACTTCCTGTCTAGCAAATGTGGAATTTGGATAAGAGTCCCTAGGATGCTCTCTAACTTAAAGCATCTTTGGTGATCATTTCCTACCTAAACACTTTGAGACGTCTGGTAAACTTCCCACTTGTGTGTGTCACAGCTTTGCAGCTAGAATAGATGCTCCAGGGGCAGAGGCCCTGGGTCATCGAGAGCACCTCCGTTCACAGTGTTGTTTGCCCATCCCAGTGCTTTCAGTTGAATGAACCAAAGGTCATACTGCCTATTTTTTTTTTCTTTCTTTTCTTTCTGTTTTTATATTAGGCCACAAAAGAGGAAGGCAAGACGTCACTACTATAAACCAGCCAAACAAAAGTCCCAGCCACAGGGAACCCTGAATACAGAATCTGTCATCTTTGATGAATGGCATCACTATCTTATTAGCAAGTGTCTATTAGCACTTAATTAGCACAGCTTTGGTATCAGCTTCTGTGTGTGTGTGTGTGTGTGTGTGTGTGTGGTTTTCCAAGCAAGGATCAATTCTTAGTTAAGAGCTTGCTTGGGCTTTGAAGCATTAATGAATCCAAGTGGTTTTACATTTCTTTCAGTGAATTTGCATTCGACTACACTTTAAATTTCCCACAAGGGAACCAGGCTCAGACACCACACTCACCAGCTGTGCTAATTAAGTTAATTATGCCCAGGGCCTCAGTTTGCTACCTTGAAGAATAGGTATGGGGATGAAATGAGTTCCTATGCATAAAGTACCTAGAACAATGGCTAGCACATGGAGAATGTGGGTTAAATAAATAAGATAACCCACAGATTTGCTCTGAGAAGTGGAGCATGATTGGGAAGGGAAACATAATTAGAACTGTTCACACCCTTCATGACTTCCACACACTTCCCCTGATGGGGATGGAGGCTGGAGTTTAATAATGTGTTGAAAGATGCATCATTTTACGTACACATACATGGCAAGCACTGTTTTCCACAGTGTGAAAAAGAGATTTCCCTTGGCTGGGGAGGCGGAGAAGAGAGTTCACAACTAGGTTGAAAAGTGATAGTAATTACCAAAGGCACACAGATGGGGTTTGGAAAATGTATGGGTCCTGTAACGTTTTTAGTATGCAGTTAATCTTCATAGGTAAATCACTTTTGATTGTCTGCTAATGGAGGGCCATCAATGGAGGATAAAGGAAACATAAGGATTAGAGTAATTTACACACAGATGGATAACCAGTCCTCAAGATAGTGCTCCTGGCACTACCAAAGGGTCAAGGCTTCTCCTGACTCATGCTTTACAGAAATGAGGGTGAAATCCGTCTGTGTTCTGTCCTCTGCCGGGAGTACCCACGACATGGAAAGATCAGGAAGGGATGGTGACATCTTTATTAGCTTCACTCCTCTGTTCAGTAACCCCCTTTCACTCCATCTCTCTCTAGTGGACTCATAAAGGGATTATTGCTAGGAATTGGGATATGATTCCCACCTTGGAAAAATGTTCATTCATTTACTCAACAAATGTTAATTGAGTGTCCCTGTGCACTTGAACATCCTTGTGACCCTTAAGGATTCCAGGAGTGCCAGGGCCTCATTTATTAGCCAGCCAAGCCAATGTTGGGACCATCCTGGCTAATTCTCTTAGAACTCAAGCCAGCCATTACCTCATTTCCTAAACTAAACACTGAACTATAGGTCAACCCTGCAGATGCCTTCTGCTAATATCAGAAAGGTCAAGTCCTGAATCTGGCCAGAAAGCTGGGCCTCTGTTACCCACGCATGAGGCCATCTTGGTGACAAAATCAAACCAAATACCAGCCACTTACTAACTCAGGTGTGGGTGGGTGTGGGGTGAGCATGGGTAATGACGGGCAGTCCACTCACCACGCAGTCGTCTATGATCTCCGTAAGGCGTGTCCGGTGTTTCCGCCCTAACCGCATGATTTTTTTCCATGTGTAGTAGTACTCCACACACTGAGCCACTGTCTTAGACTTCACCTGTCAGGAAAATGAGCTCAAGATTAGCTCCAGCCATGGGCAGTGTGCAGAGCAGAGCAGAAACAGCAAGCGTCTTTGAGAACTGAATTTTGCAACAGGTAATATGCAGTTCCATACAAAATGCATTCAGTGGAAAGTCTCCTTCCCACACTTTATCATCTACCCAGTTCTTACTCCCATCTTGCAGTCCCAAAGAGCCTGTTATTCATTTTGTGGGTCTCATTCCAGAATTTCTTAGGTATAGGCTAACAAAAATTGATTCCCCTCCCACCATTTTTCTTCACAAAAGGTATTGTTGTAAAGTGCCATCGAGTCAGTTCCAAATCATAACCACCCTGTATAGGGTTTTTGAGGAGCAGCTGGTAGGTTTGAACTTTGTGATGCAAGTCAACTTTACAGTCCAGTGCTGCATCCTAAAATGCCACACCATTATATATGTTGTTTTGCAACTTGATTAGAGAAGGACATGCTTGGTAAAGTGGAGGGTCAGTGAAAAAGAGGAAGACCCTCAGGGAAATGGAGTGGACAGTGGCTGCAACAATGGGCTGAGAGGTGTGACGAGTGTGGCAATGGAGCAAGACAGGGTAGTGTTTTCCTCTGCTGTATATAGGGTTGCTATATAAAATGCTATTGCAGGGGTTGGAGAGTCCTGATTTTATGGTAAAATGCTGTAAATGTGCTGTGTTATTTATCACAATTACTATAATATAATTATGATCAGGAGTCAACACCAGAATCTCTGCTACTGGGTTGGGGGGCCGAGGGGAGATGTGTCCTATGCTCCTCAATTTCCTAAAAATACGACACATCTGCCAGATAGCTGTGAAATAAATCATATACATTATGAACCAGAAGCCCTCATTCTATTTATTCGAGAAAAATGTATAAATTATACATTTTGTAATTTTGAAACTGTGTAAATTATACATCTTTTCATTCAGACAACAACCTCTCCACATAATTGAAAAAAAAAGGACATAATTACTTGGACTTGCCATGTCCATGGACACACCCCACCCCCACTGGGATCGTGCTAACCCTAAACAATTATCACCCTATGCTGGGAGGGCTGTAAGACACCCTTCAGTATGAGCGTTAACTACTAGGCAAATATGTCTAAACATTTCTAAATAAATACTTCCCAATTCCCCAAATTTAATGTCAAGTGAGCATGAAAAAAGCAGGCTTACCATCTTCTGTATAAAAATGAAGTCCTTGCTGTAAGTGGCTAGTGCTTTGTTAAACAGTTTTCTTTCTAGAGAGGTCCACTTGTCCGAACCTATAATGAAACACAAACTTCGTAAGAACAGTTCACCATCCTTTCCGTTCGCTCAGATTATAAAATACAAGTATTTAGCAAACGATATGTGACTTACTAAACTCCTGATTCAATACAGGCATTGTAGTATCTCAGTGTCACAGCTGAGCCCCAGTCCTGTTAAGTTGTTTAAGTGACATTGAGTCGGTTCCGACTCAAAGCGACCCTATATAGTGTTTCCTAAGAGCAGCTGGTTGAATTGCTGACCTTGTGGTTCACAGTCCAGTGCTGATCCTACAGCGCCAAACCAGGAGTCCAGTCCTGACTTGTTGTTTAAGTACCATTGAGTTGGTTCTGACTCATAGTGACTCTGTATAGGGTTTCTAAGGAGCGGCTGGTAAGCTTGAGCCACCGACCTTGTGGCTCAAACCAACTTTGCAGAAAAGTGCATTAACCCACAGCGCCACACCAGTCCTGACTACTGAGGTTCAAATCCCAACCATGACTTTGTTACTTAACCTAAGACTCAGTTTTGTTATCTGCAAATAGGAATAATTATAGTGTTTCCTCAGAATTCACAGGGGATGGGTCCTAGGACCCACTCCCCATCCTCCCCCACCCCTCCCCCAGCAGATACCAAAATCCATGGTTGCCTTACATAAAATGGCATAGTATTTGCATATAACCTATGCACATCCTCACATATAAATCATCTCTAGATTACTTATAAAACCTAATACAACTCAAATACTGTAAATAGTACTTATACTCCCTTCTTAACCTTGGAGGGATTGCTCTGACCACTGAATTGTTGTTTTTTCCTGAATATTTTCCATCTGCTGTTGTTTGAATCTACACATGTGGAACTTGAAGATACAGAGGGCCAACTCATAGGGACTGTTAGAAACGTTAAAGAAAATAAGGCATGTAAAAAGCCTAACATAGTAGCTAGGAATAGCACTCCAAAGTTAGCTACAGTTTTTACATAACGATTACAGTCATAAGAGTGCGTAAAGGTAGCCAGCACCGTTCACATCCCCATTTAAGATGCTCATCATGTACAGGAGGGACAAGCCACATCCAAGGTGATGACTGAAATGATTAAAGGGGAGGTGCCAACAGAGGGCCACGGAGGAGGCACACACAGGACCAGCACAGAGCAGGAGGCTTCCTAGTAGAGAAAACACCAGAGCTGAATTTTAAAGGACACAGAGATGCAAGTCAGAGGCCAGAGTGAAATGAAGCACTTCATCCATTCATTTCCTATCAAGACATTATGCTAGGCTAAAAAAAAAAAAAAAGCTAACATTTGTAAGTGCTTACACACTGTGCCCTGTCCTATAACACCCCTGTAAGAGTGGTATTACCAATATTATCCCATTTTACAGATGGGGGGAAATGGAAGTGTATAAAAAATGACTAGTAATCCAATAAGATTCAAGCACTGAGTCCCAGTAGAGGAAGAGCAGAGGAAGCCAGAGGGGTGAATAGGGCCAGTTCTTGACAGATTTGGTGGGGAGGGGCTCCACAGTGCCAACTGGTGCCTCTGTTTGGCTGGCTAAAACTGATAACCATGTCTTTTTTTCTCAATAAAAGAAAAAGCTGGATGTGCAGATGCTCCCATAAAGTGGTTCTGAGTGGTTTTGGGCAATAATGTCTGTTTCTAAGGAGCTGCACTATCTACAGTCCTGGGGGTTCTGGGGAAGGTTCAATCACTATGACTGGTTCACTGAAAACCCAGTCACATCTCTTGACTTCCTGAATTCTCCATGTCTCTGAGCCTCTGGTCATCCAGGCGTTTGGCATTCTTCTACTTCTTCTTAGACCCATTGTCCTCCAAACCATGGTCATTTTTCTCCCATCCAGGACAAGTCCAAGGTTTCCACTTTACTATGGTCGGCTGATGGGGCTGAAGTTGAAATCTCATTGAAAAATCTCCTCTTTCCTTGGAAGGTGCAGCCAAAATCACAATTTGGTGAGTCAAGTGAAGCCACTCTGGGCCATGGGTTGAGATTCAAGGCTCCTTGGTAGAATGTGAGATGCAATGGTGTAAGCTCTCTGATTTCTGGAATAAACACATTCTCCTGTGACTTGGATGGACCGTCAGGTCTAGAGAGCTAGCTGCAGACTCAGAGCATGTTTGCCGCAGCTGGGCTGGTGCAGATGTCTAAAATGGCAGAGCCACCACACCATTTACTTGGTTTACAAGTTTCTATCTCTACAGTTTTCCAATAAATTCCTAGTTGAAGTAAGTATCTTGCACAGGTTCTGGAGGCCTAGGCATCTCTGGATGTGAAAATCACAGCAACAGGGAGGGGAATAGGTGCTGCTTGGAGAAACTTTGTTGGAGTGGACTTGAGTCGAGGAGTTGGTGGTGACAGGGGAGCTTGGAGCTCTGCAGCTCTCCCATTGCTACTCCTCAAATTCTGCCCAACATTCAGAGCCTTGGGCTTTCAGCTCCCACAGGCTCCTCTTACCCAGGAGGAAAGGCAGAAAGTGGAATTCAGAAAGATTAGCCAATAATCTAGTTGAATGATCAAAGAGTAGTCATGGTTCCTTTTAGAGATCCATCAAACTAGCTAACAGGTAAGAGGGATCAGAAAGATGATGATGGAAGATGATGATGGTGTCCTGTCACACCAAGTGAGTCAATCTCTGGACCAGTTTGTAAGGAGACTGAGCGCCCGTTCTCACCAGTGTTCCTTGTTCTCTGGATTTACAATCTCATAGCCTTACTCCTGGCTGCTCTTCACTTCCATGCTCCCTCTGTAGTCCCAAGTCAAGGAAAGAATCAGGTGTCTCCAATTCATGGTCTCTGATAGGGGTACTTTCCTGATTCTTAGACAAGGTTCTAAGCCAGACCTTCCTGGAATTTGCATCTTGGACAAAGTCCAGGATAGAATACAAAACTGAGACAGGGGGTCACCTCAAATACGCCCCTTTCCTTCCACCCTAGCAATACCATTCCTTTCTTGTGAAGTTTCCTGCTGCCCACTTAGCACACACAGAGGGCTACACTGCTGACATCCCCCCAGGAGCCATTTGTTCTACCTGGGGATTCCTGGCTATTGGGTTATTATCAGCAGGGGCCCCCTAACAAGACGATTAAGGCTAATTACAAAGAGCCTAATTAACTGGATGTAACTGGCGCTGAAACAATATCAAGAGGAAAAATGTTCTCAGCTTTGGTTGCTGGGAAACAGGCTCTGGACTGTGGCTAATTTGGGGGTCATCTACAGTGAGGCTAGGCAATTGGAGAGAGACTCGAAGGGGTGAGGGAAAGCTCCGCCACAGCATCTTTTTAAAGAGGGTCTTTTGGTTTGCGTTTTAAGAATTTTACAACTCTTACTGATGTTGCTATTTTTACAGTTACACAAGGAAGACAGGTGCATTGTCAGAAAAGGATTGCTGTTTTTATATCAGACTTTTATTTTTGTCTAGGGTTTTCCATAGTGGGTGAAAGTTGAATAATTTCTTCAGGGAAGCAGGCTGCTATCAGGTGCCCTCTAGGGGCAAAAAATAGAGAGGTCTGGCTCTGGATCTAAAACTCGAGCTTGTTCAACAAGCCTTTTCCTTATAAGTCCTGTGCCAGGCAAGGTGAGAACACATGAGGGTACCACAATCTAGCTAGAGACATAGGCTAGGAATGTCTAGAAAATGAAATTACTGTTGTGTTTCTTGCAAAGTATGCTCTTGAATATGTAATTCTGTCTCCTTCATCAGACTAGGACAACCTCCAGAACAGAGACTGTTTTCGCTGGGTGCTATGGAGTCAGTTGGTCCTGATTCTTAGCAAGGGACCCCATGTGACAGAGTAGAATGGCCCCATTCGGTTTTCTAGGCTATAGTATCTTATGGGTGTAGATCCCCAGGTCTTTTTCCCATGGAGAAGCCTAGTGGATCTGAACTAGAAACCTTTCAGTTAGTAGCCCAGCACTCCACTGTTGTACCATCAACACTCTATAGGGTGAAGAGTGTTGTTAAGTGCCATGGAGTTGGTTCCAATCATAAGACACCCTGTATAGGGTTTTAGAGGAGTGGCTTGTGAGTTTGAACTGCATGACCTTGTGGTTCAAACCGACTTTGTGGTTCAATGCTTTATCTTACAGCGCCCCAACAGGATTCCTAGGCCTCTCCAATTAAATGGGTTATCTCCCAGGTCAAGCTCAGGGTCCCTGGGAGAGCTTGGACTATTGTGGGAACCAAGGGAAACCTCTGCGGAATCTTTGCTGAGATGCCCAGGGCCACTTCTGACATCCCCTCTGATCTGCATCCATAGGCAGGAATGGCCAGTTTAGTGGGAAAAGTAAGGATGCTGCAATGACAGCTCAGGAGGGATGAGGCAGGAAAGTGAATAAGGAGGGGAAATGACTTTCAAAGGCCTGTGGGACCAGCTGTTTTCCTCCCCTCTTCCCCAAACTGGCAGCCTTCCTCTTCGGCCACTCTTGCCGCTTTCCTCAGAGACGGGCCAGGGAAGTCTGACCACCTTTGCTAAATCTCTGGGAGCCTGGAGTGCAAGTCCAGGGCCGGGAGTCAAGTGGGCTGTGCCCGGCCACAGCCACAGAGCAGGGGAGCAGAAGAGATCCAGAACAGTGTCCTGATGAGGTGGAAACTGAGCTAGACACACAAAATGTACTGAGGAGCAACCCAAAGGGACTTGGTACAAAGGCGAAATCAGGATGGCATAACAGAGACAGGGCTCAGGCTACCCAGGAACCAAGCGAGAGAGATCCGAAATATGGGGAGGAGGAAGTGGCAGCTGGTAGCTGGTGAGTGTGATGGGGATGAGCTCTGGGGCCTTCTCCTTTCTTCGTGGTTTGGAAGGGAGCTGTTAGGGGAATAGGGTCAGGTGAGACTTTCGATACTAGTGAGGAGAGGGCACCTTGGGAGAAGGAAAACAAGCCCTTTTGTTCATAAATTTAAAAGATTTGTTGGGACTCCATCTGTATACTTGATGGAGAAGGCAGGGGCTGATTGACACAGATGAGCATGCCTTTCTAGGGGACACACTAGGGGGATGCCAACCCTTCACCCCTCATATCCTCCTTCCTGGTTTCCAAGGGTCAAAATGATTCCATAAAGCAATAGCATCCTTTCTTATCTGCCTCTGAGGAAAGGGTTAGGGAATGGATGAGGGATTAGTTAGATACCCTCCAAACAAACAAGAAAACACAAACAAAAAAACCCCCAAACCTATTACTTGTCAAGTTAATTCTGAATTATCTCAAACTCTGAACTACAAACAGGTTTTCTAAAGCTGTGAATTTTTCTCCACCCCATCTTTCAGTTAGCAGCTGAGTGCCACCTATACACTCATATCAGTTCATCTTAGTAGAATTTATAGTCCCTCAGTTTCAAAGTTCTTAATGTTATTTTGGTGGTTTTAATTAGTTGTGTTCATTTGTGGTGAGAGCGGGAACTTCTTGTCTACAGCTTTCAACTTTTTTATGTTATGACATACTTAAAAAAAATAATAATACTTGTTTGGCATACTAGGAAGAACTGAAGGGGATTTGGTCTCAGACAGGGCTGTGCACAGCTGGAGTTGAGCAGCACACAGGCTCTGGCCTCCCCAGGCAGCCCAGGAACCAAGAGCATCAGCATCTCCTAGCACAGTGTTGGGAAGCTCCTTCTGATCAACTATCTCATCCATTATGGAAAGCAACTTGGGACAGGTTCCAAGAGGGTGACCAGCTCGTCAGGGTTTAATGAATGCTGGGAATTCAGATGGCTGAATTGTTTCCATGGCAGATGATGGAGAACTCCCACATGTTCCACCCACATTAGGAGCAAACACCAAGACAGAGATGATGGAGACAATGTTAACTGGTTAAGTGGTGGTTTTCTTTTCCCACATGACTGCTTTGGGCCTAGTTCCATCACCTAGTTGTATGTGATGGAAGTGATCAACCGGCAGAACTCCTTGGGGTTGCTGTGTGCGTATGGGTGGTGACAGAGAGCTTTTCTCCTCATGAAAGAGGTGATGAGAGGCAGGAAGAGTGACTGAGCAAAGTCAAGGGCAGTGAAGAAGAGAGTCCACAGAGAACACTAAAGGTACAGTAAAGACCTGAACCCACATCTAGTCGATTCCAATGACTTGGCACTTTCATGCCTGGTGGCTCTCCCTGTCTCACCAGGCACCGTGCACTCCCACTCAGCTCTCAATTGTCCTGCAGAGGCAGTAGCTCATGCAGACAAACACTCAACATGTGATCAACAGACACACTGCCTCCACCAACTCCACTCCAGAAGGCCCAGAGGTCGTGAGTGGAAACTACAATAGAGCCAATTCTATCTACTATGAAAAGTCAATAACCAAACATGCAAATGACCCGCTCTCAGGAAGCAATGGGGCACAGGACTCCTGGCAACCTACCGGCATAGTGGTAATTTGCTAAAGGATGATATTTTAACCTGACTGGCTTCCGCAGCAGCAGCGTTTCCAGAGCAGCCTGCAGACCCAGGGGAGAGAAAAGGCAAGTATCAGTAATGGGACTGTGTGTCCTAGGGAGACCATCTAAAGGGGATTTGCACTGCAAAGTCTGCCCAGGGGAACACTGCAAGGAAAACCAAGCAGAGCCTTTCTACTTGAGGTTTCCTTCTCAGCACCCAACAGCCTCCCTGGCTGGTGTGCTTGTAGCTTGAGAATGTGAGAGGAAGGCAGTAGTGGCAACACAGGCCAACTCCTTCCTGGGTGAAGACCCTCAACCTCAGAGATGGGTGGGGCTTCTTCTGAATGGAGGCTGAATCCCTAGGGAAGGGCTCTGAGGAAATGAGTAGGTGATTTGTAACTGTTTTTACAGATAAAAGATCACATATTTCATTATAATTGAACATAAACAGCTATATTAGTAATAACTGGTACTACACATATACTTCCAGAGTCTAGCTAAACCCTTTTCAAACCCTGCCTGCCGCCTTTAGTCTCATTGATGTTTTAACAAATGCTGCAAGTAGAGGTAAGCAGGGGATGACTTAAGAGTCAAATCTAGAATTTTGCTACTGTAATTGTGGCCCACAGGTCAGCAGCCCCTGGGGGCTTGTTAGGAGACCTCAGGCCCTACCGCAGACCTCCTGAATTAGAATCAGCATTTTAACAAGATTCCCCAAATGACTCAAGTCCAAGTGAAATTTGAGAAGCCATGCTCTACAGTGTGGGTCTCAAAGGGTTAAGGATACTGGTAAGAAATACTGATAATCTCTTGAGAGAGTAGTATTGAGGAATTTGTTTACTTTCACATTTTCATAAAATTACAAAAGCAGGAAGCTTTTTGTGATCTGGTACCAGGAAGAACCATGTAATGACTAGGGGGGAAATGGAGGTCAGTGATGGTATGGTACTGCCAGGAGGAAGAGGCTAGCGAGCAAACCATCAGCTCAGAATCTGGGAAGAGGCAATGACACATGAAAGTTTTGGGGCACCCAAACAACCACATCACTAGTTGGTGTTCAGTAAACACTTCCTGTTGGTTGGGGAAGAAAATAGTACTAAGAATATTGATTTTTGGTTAGTTTCTATAGGAGGAAAATCACCAGCAGAATTACAATAGACCATTTTAGTTCCAGCTTACTGCAGTGAGGCCGTCTTTCTCTATCCTTGGAGACCTAGTACTCTGTTGTGAAGTTCGAGACTTCAGAAAAATAAATCATTCTAATTTCCCAAGACAGATATACCTACAATTATAGCTTTGGGAAAAGACGTTATAAACAGAAGTCCAACTGGAGATTTTTTAACAGGCATTTAAATGTTCACCTATTAATTAAGGATAGATGGCACAGGGCCAAAATTCAAGGTGATGATTATTATGCTAGTTATGAGTTGGTTGTATGGTATATGAGCCAATACAGAAACTTGGGAAAATATTTTTAAGAATTTTGACATATTCCGTGTGAACTGGGAGCCTGTTTCTCATGATTCCTTACCATCACATCACCTTTGGCCTCGAAGAGAGAGTGCAAAGCAAATTCAGAATTGGTTCCTCCACCTGGCAATGCACTTGAACAGCATAAATTCAAGAGATTCTCCACTGTTGGGGACAAGAAGCCACTGTATCAGAAAGTGCTAAGTATCATGGAAAAACAAGTGTCTGTGGGCATACAGATCCAGGAACTGGGGATCTCACTGAGACAAACAGGTCTCTCCCACCCAGTTCCTCCCTCGGCAAATACCTCTTTGCTGGAGGTCGTGGTTTTCCAGCTCTGGCCAGGGCTTCCATACCAATGTGGCTTTGTGTGTGTCGTGGGCCAGGGCAGAGGTGTCCTGGAGTTCTGGGATCTCTGCTTGGAATCTTAAGCCAATGTTGATGCGTCTTTAATAACAAAAAGAGCAATAATAACATCTTTAATATGATGGCCTAGGCCAAGGGCAGCTGTCAGAAACTTAGGCGAGGAGGAACCAGTTCCTTCTGCAGAAAGAACGCAGGGGCATTTCCTCATAGTGTGACCCTAAAATTCCAGGCATTACTTTTTCACAGGGACAAGGAACAGCTTCAAGACTGGGAAGAGATGCTGAGGGGAAGAAAGGGGCAGTTTGCCTAGGGCTTTACTGTTCACTTACTCCCTGTAAGTGGGAGAGAAGGCTAACAAATTCCAAGGTACATGGCTGATGGTACCATTTAACTAGGAAAAGTGGGTGAAATACAAATGGGACATATCCCTTTCAGACCACTTTCATATATATCATCCCACTGGAACCTCACAAAGACCTGGGATGTAAGTAAGACAGCTATAATTATTCTCATTTAATAGATGGTGGTGGTGGTGTGCTGTAAAGTCAATTCCGACTTATAGCGACCCTGTACTGGGTTTCCGAGGCTGTAAATCTTTACGGGAGCAGAAAGCCTCATCTTTCTCCTGTGGAACTGCTGGTAGTTTTGAACTAGCTGACCTTGAGGTTAGTAGCTTGACTCATAAACACTATGCTACCAGAGCTCCTTCATTTAATAGATAAGTTGCCTGAAACCTAGCAAGGTTGATGTTATTGATATCAAATAATAAAATGGTGTTGGGGCTGGAACTAAACTCAAGTTTTTTTGATTTCTGACTCAATTTACTAACCACTCCACCACATGCCTATTCTTGAAACTAGCCACCTCTCCCCTTCCCTACTGCCCACCCAAGTCCATCTGTTAGAGAGCTGGTCACTCCAAGAGCGATGAATCAATGTCACTGGGGTATGAGAGGAAGTGGCCACAGCTAGACTGGTCCTCTGACTCCAAAGATAAATGCTTTCACGATGACTTTACTTTTTGGCAAGTATCTTGAAACAACAGTACTTTAAGGATACTGAGACCCTATGGAACAAGGATTATGAGGATAGTGCTGAACCAGGCAATGTTTCAGTGTGTCGTACAGAGAGTTAGTAGGAGTCAGAACCGACTTGACGGCACTGACAACTAGTTGGTGCCTCACAACAGCAATGGAGCACAATTCTTTTCGGACACACACAGCTGCCACGAGTCACACTGTTAGGACAGCAATTGGTTGCTAGTTACAACTTCTATCACTTTTCTCTCAGTGTACTTCTCAAGGTCCCTGACCCCTTTCCTCAGCTGAGGCTTCTGTTCTAGAGAATAATCGGCTTTCCCTTACGGTTCAACATCCACGGTCTGCTCCCCAGGGCCTGGGGTGACTGTCACATTGTTGCCATCGATGCTACCTGAAACATAAACCAAAAGTCTCCAGTCAACATGGAGGGGGTAGTGAGGAACAAGACCAATTACTTCCTGATGCAGAAATGAAAGCAAATGAGCTGTTACTAAGTCCTAAGTGGGCCCCTCTCCTACCCAACCCAGGCTACAGTTGCCCCCAATAGTCTCCAGGGAGTTGGGTGTAATGTGGTACGAAATGTTATAGGGGTTACCCCATTTCTCACCCAGGGTAAAGAAGCCAACTACTTTACTGTTAGTCCGCCAAGCTGTATCCTTTCTATGAAACTATTCTTGCTCCAGAAAAATATTCTGGCCACAGTTAATCTTGATACGTCATGCTAAAATGTTGAGGCATAATCTTGCATAAAATGCCTAATCCTAGGTGTGCTACGTGTGTATTGTATTTAGTGTATTTATTCTGGCTATTTTACACAATCGTCCATGACAGTCTTAGTAACACAGTGTATGTAAACTTCAACTGTGTCTTTATCCCAAAGAGACAATAATGATCACTTTATGTGCTTGTCTCTCCAGCCAGATTAAAAGCCCCTTGAAGATTAGAATTGTATCTCATTGTAAATATTTCTAGCATATATCACAGTGCCTGGAATATACAGCAAATATTTCCTAAGAGTTTGTGTAATAATTAGACCATTTAGAAAGAGACCTCCTAGGATAGTATATCCAACACAACAAGGGCAAAATGCCCCGGTCCAGGAAGAGGTTAAAGGGCTAACTCACTGGAGCGGCAGAGCAGCACTCGCGGTGTGGGAGTCAGGGGTGTGAGGGGCAGCTGCGGGTGGGCACCAGGGCCATGGCCAGAGATGAGAACATTGCTGAAGAGCCCTGAGCCCTGGCGGACCGGGCTAAGCATGGGCGGGGGCGTGTAGGGGGGTAGCTCGTGGGTAGGGTCCAGGAGCAAGTGGTCCCCAAGTACTCGTGGGGAGCGCAGCTGACTCTGGTACAGGGTGGCACCGGAGTAGGAGGAGGCGGGGTTCAAGGCGTAGGAGGGCGGTGGTGGGATGAAGAGCGGTTCTGGACGGTGCCGGAACTTTTTCTTCTCCTGTACAGTCTTGAGGGGTTCCTCAGCTTTGGGCACGCTCGGCTGATGTTTCCTGGGAATTTCCTAAAACGGGAAGAATGGTCTGACTCAAATACTTAGGTCTCCCGACAGGTTATTTCTATAGATTTCGGGAAAAGTAAATTTCTGCTGTTCTGACGGGGAAACTCATCATCCCACCCATCATCCTCTTGTCTTAAAATGCAGCCATGCCCATTTTAGGCCAATAGAGTGCCTGATGGCTTAACTATAGAGAAAACTTTGGTCATGGCGGAAATTCTAGTGTCTGGAGAGATATGGATGTAGTAGGAACAGTGGGTGGGCAATAAATTCAAATTCTTTATAGCTTATCACTACATTCCCATCTCTTGCATGGTATCCAGCTGCGTGGGCTCTAATTCCCTCAACACTCCCCAGGGACAAACATCAGGAACAGAAACACAACATGTGTTCTAAGAAAGGTACAGAATAATCTACTCAGGGAAGCTGGGAGCAGGGGGTTCTGGCTCAGTGCAGACTTTCTGTGCCAGTGACCCCAACAGGATTCTCCTTAATAACTTTCAGACTGGGGAAGAGCCACTTTTGATATTTAGGGGCGGTCCAATAAGCTCTTCTAAAAGTTCATCTGGTTAACCTCCCCCCTCACAACCTCCCAACACTGGTGGCTCATTTGTAGCAAGCCCTTCCCCAAGACTGGCTTCCTGTCAGCAGTGTTAGTTTATGATTCGTTGGCAGCCAGAACCAAGCATAGTCTGTAAGGAAGATATGCCACATGGATACATATATATTAATAAGTAAACATATGCACGCAGATAGAGCAGGGCATGCCAAAGCCAAACAGAAACAGACTTGGTCGTGTGCCAGCACCAGCACAGAAAACTCCAGAGCTGGGTGTGGTTAGGAGAGGCTGTGGTGCGATTGGGAGGCAGCAGGGATACCTGAAGAAAGATTCTGGGCAGGTTGTGGTACCCCCTCAGGTTCTGCAAACCAGTCACAGCTGCAGTTCCTGGCAATTCCTGAACCCAGGGTGGCGCCTGAGTAGGAGGCAGCAGGGGGTGATGGGAAGGGTTGACCATGTCATGTGATCAGCTGCCTCCAGGCCATGTGACCTGTCCCAGTCAGTCCCTCAGCTCTGGGATCTTCTTGCTCTGAAGCACCTTCTGCCTTCAGCATTTTATGATCTGCCTCACTCCTGTTTCTCCTCCAGCTTCTCAATCTTCCAAAAGACCCTCTCAGTCTCAGGGAAGCAGACAGGTGGGGGAAAGAGGAGGGTGCAGAGCGCCTCCCCAGGCTCCTAGCTTCAATATGGAGGTTCCTAACCCCTACCTCACCCCCAGGGGGCTCTCCCTAGGCCAGAGCTCTCCAACATGCCTACTCTCCCCACCAGAGGGCTCCTCACCAGAGGCTGAGGAGGAGAGGGGTGCTGAGAATGTGTAAAAGGTGCCTGAGGGTGGGTCCATCCCCCCATGCCCTGCGCACCACCCCCCTTCCTCTGACATAGAACAATTCCTGAATCACTGATGAGGTAATTCAAGCACATACAGACCTCATGTGATCTTAACTCTGTACTGGAATCCAGACCTCTGATCATGGTATCAAAGGTTCCCTTTGGGCTCTCTCTCCTCCAGCCTGCTGTCCCATTATTTCAACTCCAAGTCTGAATTTTCTGATTTTCCAGGCAAGACTCTGAGCCACTTGGGCCAGAGAAGAAACCCAGAATATTACCTCATAGGAAGCATTTACAGTGCTGCATCTGACCAAGCTATTTGGAACCTCAGGGGGTGGGGCCAAGTTCTGAGGGCTTTTTACAGCTGCCCAGGTGATTCTGAAGAACAGAGAGGGGTGAGCAACCCTGATGAAGCCAACCTTCTCAAGGTCAGAGGACGAAACACTGCTCAGAGTCTCAGCTGGCTGGGAGCAGAACTGGTCAGGACTCCTCTCTGGGCCATTTAGTTTTTTCATATCAAGTGCAGGACCTTGCTCACATGTGCTCAATCCCACCCACATGCTTCTACTTTGGTCCATCTCCCCACATAAGATGTCTCTCCTACCTTTTCCAAAAAGCCAATTCAGTTTGTGTCCTCAAATCCTTGCTCGAAACTTCACTAATGATGATCTCCTGAGCAAACTCACACACATTTCCTCCTTGCTCCCCACTCCCCAGGTAAATGACTTTTACCACTCAGGTGCTCCCATTGGCTGCACACAGAGCCTCACTGTTTCTCATCTGCCCTTGTCTTTTCCTTAGTCTTGAATGGGTAAGGGTGTGTGTTCTGCCTGCCACTGAGCCCGTGTATCTGGGAGGGAACCTTATTGTGTGCCCAGCTTCAGACTGAGAGTTCTCCAAGGGAAAGAACAGCGTCTCTCCCACCAAATCATTCCCTGAGCAAAAAGGGAGCTTGGGAGTATCAATTTCGCTCTCTGCCTGGTGCAAGTCGTGCCAGTTATGAGCTTCTTCTGTACCTTGGGAGGTTCCCCATCAGTCTCTCTTCTTCCGAGACCTTGATGTAATATGGAGAACCAAAAGAGTTCTTTCTGGACTTTTTGTTGTGAGTTATTTGCCTTGCTCCTACTCTGGCCCAACCCAATCTTCATTCCTCTTGGAGTCCCAACAACCATTCATTCACATTCTAAGAACAAGTATGTATCAGTACACGACTTTGTGGGAAGGGAAAGGTCTGATGTAGCTAACCACATGGGACACAAACTCCCAGGGCCCAGAGATGCAGCCCCCAGTCCAGAGAAAGAGAGAAAGAAAATCACAAAGAGAAAGGAAAAGAAAGAGTGTGACAACCCTCTCTGCTCCAGAGCCCAGCTAAGCTGTTTGCCTGAAGCAACTGGAATGTGAGAAAAAGAATTAACAGTGAGTGAGGAAACAAATCTCTTTGCTTTCCTGAGATTGAGGCTGAATGTCACTTAGGGGAACCACTTTGGAACTCTTAATGCATCAGGTCTTCCAAGAGTATTCAACCAGGTGTGATAGTCAAAATATAGACATACCTCAGAGATATTGTGGGTTCAGTTCCAGACCACTACAATAAAGTACATGTCCCAGTAAAGCAAGTCATGTGAAGTTTTGGCTTCCCAGTGCATTGAAAAGTTATGTTTACATTATTAAGTGTGCAATAACCAAAACTCACTGGCATCGAGTCACTTCTGACTCATAGCGACCCTGTATAGGGTTTCTGAGGTTGTAAATCTTTATGGGAGCAGAAAGCCTCATCTTTCTCCCTTGGAGCAACTGGTGGGTTTGAACTGCCAACCTTGTGATTAGCAGTATAGTGTTTATCCTATAAGCACTCTCTGAAGTGTGTGATAGCATTATAGAAACATTTTAAGTATTGTGTGGATGACCAAAATGTGACCCAGTGACAGGAAAAAGATGCTGTTGGAAAAATGGTACCAAGAGACTTGCTCGATGCAGAGTTGCCACAAACCTTCAATTTGTAAAAAAGGCAGTAAAGTGAAGCACACTAAAATGAGGTATGTTGGTATCAAGTATAACAAAATGTAAGGCTGAGCATCAGAATGGATGCAGGCCTATTTCTTGGAAGACCTGCTCTGTCAGTGGCTACCTCTTTAGTTGCTGGATGTAAGTTGCTCTGGAGATCTTGGGGGAAGGGACCAGTCCCTGGGCAACAGCTATTTATGCTCCAAGATGGAAGTACTTCAACCTTTTAATGACTGGCATGACTGTATCAATGAGTACCAGTTGAATTATCATGTTTGAACCTAGGCACACGATCTGGTCTCAGAATTGAACCTGGATAGTTGGCTTGGTAGAGTAACAGGTGTTTAGGGGGTAGCATGGACAAGGCAGGGACTCCTAAGGCTGCCATGCAGGGGCTTGGCCCCAAGAGGCCCAGACATGTCCCAGCATAGGCCAGCTGACCCTATCTCCAAGAAAGCAAAGGGATCTCCCCACCCTAGGCAGGCAGGGCAGAGCAGCAACTCACAGCAGGTGTGCGGGGGACAGCCCCTTGGGGTGAGTGTGGGGGAGAGAGGGTCATCCTCACGAGCACTGGCATCTCGTCGTCCGACACCGAGCTGGCTGGCTTGTCTCTGGCCGAGGGGGCAGCACCGACGCTGTTGGCGAACCCCTGTGAGCTGGGCTTGGGCGGGAGAAGCTTGACAGGGACAGACACGGGCATGACCATAGGCGTGAGGCTATCTGCCTCGGGAGGGAGCTGCTGCGGAGGCGGAGGTGGAGGCGGAGGCGGCAGTGGCGGCTGGGGCGGAGGCTGAGGCGGCGGGGCCTTCTCTCCTTCCTCCTACACAGACAATAAAGGCTTTGATCCTGGGCTGCAGAGCAGCTCTCACAATGGGGGGACTAGTTCTGCTGTTCCCAAAAGGCTCCAGGACATCAGGAGTGGGTGATAGAACCCCTACAGGGTGGTTTCCTTCCTGCAACCCTGAATCTCTTGACCCAAGTGATGCCAGATGGACAGGGCATTTAAAAACCATGTACCGTGTGCTAATTATATACCAAAAAGATGTTTTGTTGTTACTTTTAAAGAAAAGAGCACAGACTTGTAATCAGGCCTGTAGGTGTGGTTCTGTAGGTTAAGCACTGGATTGCGAACCACAAGGTTGGCAGTTCAAATCCACTAGTATTCCTCCGACCTATACAGGATGGCTATGAGTTAGAACCGATTCGATGGCACTTAACAATAACATAATAATAATAAAAAAGCCAGTTGCTGTCAGTCACCTGCAGCTCATGGCAACCTCTTGTGTGTCAGAGTAGAATTGTGCTCCACAGGATTTCAGTGGCTGCATTTTTGGAGGTAGATCACCAGTGTGATTCTTCTAATGTGCCTCTGGATGGACTCAAACCTCCAACCTTTTGGTTAGCATCTGGATACGGTAATTGTTTGCACCATCCAGGGACTCCACATGTAGACTTTCAATTCTAGGGGGCCTCAGTTTACTCATATTTCAAGAGCATTCCACTTTGCATTTTATTCAGATAAGGAAACCAGTTTGAAAGCCCAAAGCACGTTTATTTTAAGAAGTGAAGATAAAGCTCTCTTATCTGGTGTGATCAAGAGATAGAATGATCTTGCTCATCAAAGTTTTGATTAACAGAATCAATCTCATAGATTTAAATGAAGATCAATGCTATTCAAAGAAATCTGAGAAAATTCTTTGAATTTTCATCTAACTCTAAATCTACATAGAAATGGTTTACTATTTCATCTTTCAGAGCTAAATCCTGAGGAGCTTTAAGGATCTCTGGATGCTGGAGTCTAACAGTGCACAGGTGACTAGAAAGGTTTGGTTACATCGGCTCTCCCTGCACACTCATCTGGAAGATCCAAGTGATTCTCGCCTTGAATCCAAGTGATTCAAGGAGCAGAAGTTACAAATAATATAGTATCAACATATTTTCCTTTGTTGTCTTCTCCCAGGAGGTGGAGGAAGGGGAGGATGAGAGTCCTCAAAGGATTTCTAGCACCTTTTTGTTGGGCCATGGTTCAGAAAGCCAGTGGAAGTGGGGCATGTTGGACTTGGCTGGCTCCCAGTGTCAAAGTGTTAATGTGTTTCTGTCAAGAGGATCCCATCGCTTTCTATCTGGGTGGCAGCAAAGCAAAGCAAGCAGCACATAGCTTAGGAAGGACCCAGGGGTGGCTCCCCACTAACCTGTTTGAGGCTGGGGGAGGCTCTCATTCCCCCATGGGACCGCATGTGGCCATTCAGGGCAGGCAGGCTCTTGAACTCCTTCAGGCAGATGGAGCATGTTAGCTTGTTCTTGGCATCAAACTGCTCCCCAAACACTCCTTTGGCTTGGCCACTGCTCAGGGGTAAGGTCAAAGAGAAAGAGCATGTATGTTGAAGAAGGGGAATGAATGATTGTATCAGCAAAACCTCACACCCCACAACCAACACATCTTATCCTTCCAATGTTCCCATGTCCACGGTCCCATTTCTACCCTCCATAATACCCATCAGATAAATCAACTCAATTTAAGCTAAAAAACTGAGGCCTAAAGTCATGTAAGTTGAACAGATCATCCTGCTTCACTGCAGACCTACTGATGCTAGGCTGTTCTCTTTTGGCCAACAGCACTTCCTGGAAAAGCCCTCCGGCAGAGACCCTGGTCTAAGTCCTCTGGTGTTCAGCTTCTACACCGCATACTCTTTAAGCTGTTTATCAGGCTCTGGCTAAATCTTCAATTATTTCACCTGCCCATAAGGGGAGGAAGCAAATCTGTAGGAATCATTGATGCTTCTGCAAAGTCTAGCTCTACATGCGGCACACAATAGACAATAAATACACATTGACAGAATGAATGGAAAATGAACAGAACATTAGCTTTGGAGTCAATCCCAGCATTGCTGTTTACTTGATGTGTAACTTTAAGCTCCGTGAGCCTCAGTTTTCTCATCTGTAAAATTATAATAACAGCAAGCAAGTACTGAGTGCTTACTATATGCCAGGCACATGGTCATCATGCTCACCCTCACTAGTACTATACATAATATATTATACTGCCTAGGAGTCCTAGTGTGGCGCTGTGGGTTAGTGCACTGGGCACAAGGTTGCTTTGAACCACAAGGCCAGTGGTTCAAGCCCACCAGTTGCTCCTTGGAAACCCTATACAGGGTCAGAACCAACTACACAGGAAGTGCTCAAACACAATAGTTGCTGTTATTATTCATACGACCTTCTTTTGATGAACTGACCTTGAACTAACTCAGAAGTGAACTGTGAGACACACCCAGTAAGACCCCCAGTTGCCTAAAATGCCAATATGCCTCCACTGAGCCATCCTACCTTGACTCAGGGGATCCTGGCTGGGCTCGGCCATCAGGTAGATGCATCTTATTTTGAGCCAAGAAGAACACCGAGAAAGAGAAGGGGAAACAAACACATCTCTGAAGGGAAATATCCTCGAGTTGGAAGTGCACCAGGGTCTGCCCCCACAAGACTCTTCCAACCTTGCATGGATCCCACTCATGTCCACTCACTCCCTTGCTATCCCAATACCCTGGGACCTCTTCCCTTTACTAGCTCCCTGAGACTCAAGGGGCCAGAGCTGCTGTCAGCCACAAGCCTACCAGGATGTACTATCTGCTGCCTCATTCCTTTCTCTTCACCTACTGTGCAAAGACAGCTTCCATCCCCACATGGGACACAGAAAGGAGAGTTGGATGCCACCACACCATGCCAGGTGATCTCCTGCTGGGATTCCTTGCCAGCCTTGGTCATCTTATTCTCATGTTCCCACGTGCTCTCAGTTACTATCAGGCCTGAGCCCCAGACAAAACAAGATCAAAGAGAAGTTCATCTCTGGCCTTTTACACCCATCAGAACCCTGTCTCCACCCAACTAGATCCTACTCAGGGTTCTGTCCTCTCAAGTGCCACACTGCCTGGAGCCACAAGGGGACACACTGAAGCATGAACGGTGCCCGGCACATGGAATGCTGCCTTGTGGTCAAATACATGCGGGACGCAATCATGAAATTAGTTCATTGTGGCCCAACAGGATAGCTTGGTCTGGGCTCTAGATATAGTTTATGTGGCTAGATGGTTTCTAAAATTCCTGAATGAGTCGGCCACTAGCTGGCGTCTGCTCTCCAGTACACTGCAGTTAGTTGCCGCCACTCCCTGCTGTCTCCCATCAGGCCATTTTGTCATTCACTTGACTTGCCTGGATCCTCTGGGCAGGTCAAGTTATCATCTCTGCAGCTATATGCAATAGCCCTTTTTTGGAGATTTATGATGCAAATTTATGATTTACAATCAGCCTATGAAAGGCTCTGAGAAACCCTGCGGCATACAGCAGAGCAACCTACTTCACTTTAGGTAGTCCTGAATTTATTTATCCACAGAATCCATTCCCTCGCCCCCAGCAATGTGTACTGAACATTTAAGGACCGGACCAGCTGTCCTGAGCAGTACACTCAGAAATGCTTCCATAGGTCATTTCCCTCCCAAAAGGGGAAACATTTTCATGCAGATCCCTAGGGAAAGACACCCCCACTCTGTCCTGAGCACTTGACTCAAGGCCCTGACCATCCCAGGAATCATTCAGGAGAAGACACAGTATTTAGGCCATCTCCTTAGTAAGGTTATCAGCTCAGCAGGCAAAGTTCTGAGTCATCATGGGTTCTGTGTGGCGCTGTAGGATCAACACTGGACTGCAAACCACAAGGTTGGCAGTTCAAACCCACCAGTTGCTTCTTGGAAACCCTATACAGGGTCTCTATGAGTTGGAACCGACGCTACAGCCCTTAACAACAACACCAATGACAGCACCTGGTAAATGTAGGTTCATGCTTATGGAAGGATTAAAGAACCAAAGGGCTGAAGGGGCTGGAGAGAGAATTTGGCACCGTATGCATTCAGCCCCCTGTAGCACATCGAGATACCAGGAAAAACTCCCACTGTGAGAATACCTGGGGCCACATGGCACTGGGGGACAGCTGCTGGTGCTGAGGCCCCATGTTGTTGAGGTGGACCCCACTGGGGGAGAGGAGTGGCCGATGGGGGAGGGCACTGCTGACCCGGTTCAGGTCTGAGCTTGCTGGGTCCCCCATTCCTGTATCTGGAGGTCCCAAGTCCCCGTGGGAGCTCAGCAGGGTCTGGGCCTGCCTGTCACTAGGGTAAGTCTTCGGCTGACTGTCCTCACGCTGCTGGTGCTGAGGCAGTTGGCTCTGCTGGTAGAGGGGGTGACTGTAGGGTTGCTGAGGCTCTTGGTAGTAGTACTGGGGCACGGAGCCCAGCTGAATCAGCTGGACAGCATGCGCCTGCTCCGGGGTATACTGGTGGGGGTCCCTGTGATAAGAAGTGGGCTGCAGGTGAATCTGCTGTTGCTGTTGCTCCTGCAAGTGCTGCATCATGGGTTGGGACTGATAATACTGAGGTATCTGCATGGCACCCTGCCTCTGCTGCAACTGCAGCTGCTGTGGCTGCTGCTGCTGGGGCTGGGAGGGGCGGATCTGTTGCTGCGGCGGCGGCTGCATTTCTGGCATGGAGATGTGCTGCTGTCCAGCTTGCTGCTGCTGCTGCTGCTGCTGCTGCTGCTGTGGGTAATACTGGTGTTGCTGCATCTGTTGCATGTGCTGTGACAGCATCGGAGGGGCCTGCAGCGTCTGTGCCCCCTGCACTGGCATCTGAGCCAGTGGCTGCTGGTAGTCATAATAAAGGTGCCCTTGGGGAGGGTGCTGCCCAACCTGAAGAGCTGGTTTGGACAGTCCGCCAGTGAAACCAGGGTGAGGCTGCTGGGGCACCTGCTGGTAGCGGGGAGGAATAGCTGGTGCGGTGGGCTCCATGGGCTTCTGAGACAGCAGTTGGCGGAGGGCACTGTCAGGGGTCCCATCCATCACTGCCGACTGGGCGTGCAGCACCTGGGCCATATTGTTGACCTGAATGCGCAGGTTTTGGTTGGCAAACACCTGGGTGAAAGAGTCCAGTTTGTGCAGGACACCACTGGTGAGCTTCTGGGTCCGGATCTCACTGGCCTGAGAGTAGGTGTACTGGTAACCATCAGTGGGCTCAGCCTGGGCTGGTGCCCCCCACATCATATTGGAGTTGGCCAGGTTACCACGTAGCTGGACATGGTTTCCGGGCCCAGAATGGCCTCCCCACCCTCCCTGTCTCGAGGTATCTACTTGGCCAAGGTTTTTGGAACCAACAGATAATCCCAGGCCGTCCCGAGTATCTTGAGGGAAGTGGGGGGAGATGGGTGAGGCCTGAGGGGCATCCATCCCACCCCCTGTGACTGTATTCCCATAGTTGTGGTTCAGGCCACCATGGACGCCAAGTGGGGGCTGTTGGCAGAAGAGGTTCTCATTGCTGTGGGCCACGTGATTGGTCTTGTACAGTTGCTGATCCCCCATGGTGCCGGCCTTGGTCGTGAATGTCCAGCCAGAAAACCATATAAGAAAAAGTAAATGAAACAAACCAAAAAGGATTGAAAACCCTGAGAAGCTGAGAGGAAGCGTTCACACTACTCCACGGCTGACTTGTCTGTGCCGGTGGCTGGAGCCAGGTGTCCCCGCTGGCCTGTACCACTCATGTGCAGAGTGGGGGTTTTCACATCCTCACCCAGGCTGAGGGATGGACCAAACACCACCTTGGAGAAGGGATGCTGCTCACACCTGCAAGACAAGAAATCAAAGGAGAGGAAAGGATTAACATGGAAGTTGTCCAATGAGCAATGCTACTTCCCAGGTCTAGTAATAGGTATGCCTGGGTGGTACAAACAGTTTAGCACTTGGCTGCTAACCAAAGGGCTAGCATTTCAAGTTTATCCAAAGGAGTCTCGGAAGAAAGGCTTCTTCAGGAAAAAAAAAAAAAAAGTCATTGAAAATCCTATGGAACACAGTTCTACTCCAACACACAGGAGTTGTCATAAACTGAAGAAAGGGGGTTTTATATTCTCACCTGGGCTGAGGTACAGACCAAATAGGGACTTTTTTCCCCCTTCTTGTTACTGCTGGTTCAGCAAAAGACTAGACTAGAAATACCCCATTTAGTGGACTTCCCACTTTTGTAATGGATTCTGTAGATTTTGACCCACATGTGAATGTAATCAAGCCATTGCTGACAGCTCATTAGCTCAATGATTTGTTCATTTATTTTTTGTTCATTGATTAATTCATTCATCCATTCTTCTGAAGCCCGGCTATTCTAGGACCACCTCTGGGGGATATGAGGAAATTTAAGACATTCATTAACCAATTTACCTGTTCAACAAATATTTACAGTAAGTGTACTGCAGAATGCTAGAAAGTGATTAGACAAAGAGCCTGCTCTTCAGGAACTTACAGTCAGAGAATGTGACAGGACACATGAGTAATACAAGGGCAAAGAGAGACACATCAGGTAACGATAAAAGTAACAACTATGGGAATTCAGAGACTGGAGTGCTTATTTGCAGCAGAAGAAAGGAATTAGAGAAAGCTTCAAGACGACTGCTGTGTATGTCCACTTGACGGCCAAGTTGACATGGTCACCTGGCCATCATGATCCCTAATCAGGGAAACAGCTGTGCACAAGTGTGACCACCTGACCAGACGTCTATGACACAGGCTAACACACACACACATTGAACTAATCAGATTCCCTCTTTTTAATTTATTTCATTGTTGTTACATATATCACAAAACATACACCAATTCAACAAATTTCTACATGTACATTTCTGTGACATTGATCACATTGTGTAATCATTCTCATCCTCCTTTTCTGAGTTGTTTGTCCCCTATTAACATAAGCTCAGTGCCCCGTAAGGTTCCCATCAAATCGTTCAAGTTACTGGTATTAGTTTGATCCTATATGTGTGTTGTGGAGTCGGTTCTGACTCATAGGGTTTCCAAGGATGTAAATCTTTATGGGAGCAGAAAGCCTCTTCTTTAGCAGAACAGCTAGTAGATTCTAGTTGTCGATCTTGTCAGCTCATAATCCACTAAGTTACTAGGACTCCTTTGATCCCGTATGATGCTTCTGATTAGTGCTGTCAAGTCGGTTTTGATTCATAGCGACCTTGTATAGAGATTCTCCAAGGAGCGGCTGGTGGGCTTGAACCACCGACCTTGTGGTCCAGTGCTTATCCTACAGTGTCAGGTAGTTCTTAAAAGAGCTCAAAGCTCAAGGCAGACCTTTTTCTCTAGTTAAGTTAAACTATTATTCTGTTTTAAGAAGACCTCACAGGTATTCTGGGTTTATGGTTTAAAGATTCTCTCAGAGCAACAGTCTCAGGGGTTTATCCAACCTTCATGGTTCCAGGAAGTGCGGAATCCATGAGTATTTGAAATTCTGTTCTGCATTCCCCCTCTTCTGAGCAGGATTCATCGATAGAATCTTTGATCAGAATATTCAATAATCATGGCTGGGCACCATCCAGTTCTTGTGGTCTCATAGCGGTTGTTCATGGAGGCAATCAGCCACGCCTTCCACCATATGTTTCATCCAAGAGGACACTTCAATGGTCACCAACACATGAAAAGATGCTCAGTGTCATTAACCATCAGAGAGATGCAAATCTAAACCACAGTGAAATACCATTTCACTACTGGTGTGGCATTGTAGGGTAAGCACTGGATTGCTATCTGCAAGGTTGATTGTTCAAACCCACCTGCTCCTTGGAAATCCTATACAGGATTGCTATGAGTTGGAACCAACTCAGACACTTAACAACAACAGGATGAAATGAAAGGAAATGTAACAAATATTGGCAAGGAAGTGGGGAACTTGGAACGCTTATCCATTACTGGTGGGAATGCAAAATGGTATAAATGTTGTGGAAAACAGTGTGGTGGTTTCTCAAAAAAACTAAAATAGAACTACCATATGACCCAGAATTCCAATCCTAGGTATACGCCCCAAAGACTTGAAAGCAGACACTCAGTATAGGTTTACACATCAACCAATATTCACTGTAGGACTCTTCTATTACAATAGCTGAAAGGTAGAAACCTAAATATTTATCAACAGATGAATAGGTAAACAAATACTACTCAGCCAGTAGGAGAAATGAAGTCAAATTACAATAATAGTAAATAAGTCATACACAAATATATGACTTCACTTACATAAAAAGACAAGAAAGGCAAATTATGAGAACAAAGGTTATTATTAGTATGGTGCTGTAGGATAAGCATGGGATGCAAGGTTGGTTTGAACGGCCAAGTCAGCTGTTCAAACCCACCAGCCACTCCTCGGAAATCCTATACAAGGCCCTATGAATAGGAACCCACTCAAGGGCGCTTAACAATAACAACAGGAATGTGAGGGAGAGGGAAAAGGGAGCAAGTAAAATAGTGATGGAAATATCGTATCAAGGGTAGGGTTGCACAGCTGATTATTATAACTGCTGTCAATAAGTGGCACACCTGTAAAGAACTAAATTGGCCAAAGCTGTGTGACAGATAGATTTACAACAATGACAAACCAAGAAGAGTAGCTGGTAGCTGCTGACGCTGCTTAAGTACAACCCAAAGTCTCATGGGATCTGGTTTCTTGGTTTGGAGGCTTAGGGTAATGGTTTCAAGGGACATCCCAGTTAATTGGCCTAATAACATGTTTAGTGTTTAAGTTCTACCTCCTAATTTGATGCATAGGGTCTAGGGTTTTAAAAGCTTGCCAAGGGGCCATCCAAGGCACAACAATTGCTCTTTATTTGCCTGGAGCAACAGAGGAAGAAGGAGAGTCAGGAATAGGAGGAAGCTAGGGAATGTATGTGGCTAATTAATTGCCTCCAGAAACAACTGTCTCCTTTGCAATGAGACCAGATTCCCTCTTAGCAACACAAACTAGACAATTTAGAGAGACTGGTCTATTTCCTGTTTGAGTCCATAGTGGCTTCAAACTGGAGAGTATACAACACTTTCCAAAAATGACACGCACACAGTTTTACGAGAATCAGTGCCCAGCTCCTTAACTTCCACAGAAACTGCAAAACCAAGTGGTGATGGAGGCTCAGGCTGTCCTTTCCTACCTGCTCCTCCAGGATCATCTCGTTTACAAACTTCTCACCATCCCACCTCACATCTTAACCTGGCTCTCTGCTTCCTGGCCACTAAGCAAGAAGACACTCAGACAAGTGAAAAATAGAACAACTCTAACACACGAATAACAAAATCCTTCTGCAAGACAGGTGGCTTCTTAGTTCTTTTTTTTAAACTAGGAATTAACTAGGATAAAATTTGAGTACTAGTCAATGATGTAAGTTTTGGTATATAACTGAAAAGCAGTGACCTGCTTTAACAAAACTAGTATTCCTACTTACTAGTTTATGTGAAGGAGGATTTTTGGTGCAACTTATAGCTGTATAGATGAAAAATCAAAATGCAACAGATGCTAATCCTTGTCTTCGCCTAGCAACAATCTGTTTCTGGACCTGAGAATTTCATAGGTGTGCTCACCATGTGATAACAAGCTGTACACTACAACCCGGTCATATAGGGGTGTGAATCTAAATTGTTGCAAATGGTTAGCGTGCTTAGCGGTTTGAGTCTGCCCAGGGTTATCTGGAAGGAAGGCCTTGTGATTTATTTCAGAAAGGTCACAGTTGTTGAAAACCTTATGGAGCACAGTTAGTTCTACTTTGGTACACTACTTTGGAGCTGACTCAACAGAACTGGTGATAGTGGATATATGTTGTTAATCAAAAAAAAAAAAGAGAAGAGTCATTCCAAACCACCAGGTCATTAAGTGATGCATTTTCCATATAGCTTTATGTACTTATTAATTATTTACCTAAATTAGTAATACACTTATGTGGTTTTAATCAATTGTGTACTATTAATAATTATAATGATAACTCAAACCCAGAAGAAAATTTTCATACTTAGAGCTTTATGAATTCAGGAAATGAAAGTCTATAACTTTATATAAAATTGTTACAGGGAAATATAATAGAGTGGTGGTGTTGGTTATGTGCCATCGAATTGTTTCTGACTTATAGCAACCCTGTATAGAGTTTCCAAGTCTGTAAATTTTTATGGGAGAAGAAAGCCTCATCTTTATTCTATGGAATAAATGGTAGATTAGAACTTCTGATCTTGTGACTAGCAGCCCAGCTCGTAATACACTACACTACCAGGGATCCTATGATAGTTGTTAAGTGCTGTTGAGTCAGTTCCTGCTCATTGCATCCCTGTATAGGGTTTCTGAGGATAGACTGGTGAGTTTGAACCACCAACTTTGCAGTTTAAGCCAACCTGTGGTCCAGCACTTATCCTACAGCACCACACCAGAACTTCTACTATGATAGAGTAGCATATAAAATTTTTTAAGTGTGATAATGTATTACATATATTACTTTAGGATAAAATTGCGTGGGGAGAGTAGAAATAGAAATAAAAGTTCACCTATAGAGCTTGTTTATGCTTTTAAAAAATGGATGGTGGTGGGTACCAGATTTCTATGGTGTTTAGATTCCACTGGATAAATTAAAAACAGTGATGTAACAGTTTTACTTACAAAATAGCAATGTTTACATTAGGCTGGAAATTGCACCTTCTGCAATCTTAGGATAAAATATGCAGATGTAAACTTAAAAATGTGTGAGGGTGTTGTAAAAATTTTTACAGAATTCTTCTTGGGGGAGATTTTAAGCAGAAAGTTGGAAGAACACAGCAGAAATGCCCGCCCC